AAATTATAAGAATTTTTGGAACTTTTTAGACATTTGTAACATGTAAGGTTTTAGAATTTGTAGACATGATCTTAAAAGTGGAAGTGAAGGGACTAAACTTATAATTTGATTTTAACCAATTAAATGATTTGTAAGAGTTTTTGTTATCAAGAAAATACTAAAATTTAGAAGGGTTGGCAGTCCTAACTTTCTTTTGCTTTAGGCTAATGCATATTTTTTAATCAGAGGTTCGAATTTTTACTTTCACGTTTTGTTGTTAGGTTATTTCTAAACCTTAAAACAAAACCGATGTGGAGTTTTGAGAGTTGACTCACTGCCTATGTGTCCTTTATGCCGAGTCGTTTTGAAGCTTACTTGCCAATTGGACTGACGAATATTGATTCTTATCAACTAATAAAATACGGAGAATTTCTTCTAAAAAGATTATATTTATATATTGACGGCTTTAAAAAACGTGTTTAACATGAATTAAATTTTTAACATTTTATGTATATCTTTAGGACAAAAAAAACATTTTATCCTGGTCGGACTAAAGCTCAATTGTGTGAGTTCGAATCTTAAAGGAAAAAACTCATCAATCTTATTCTATTTTATTTCACGTGAGAAACTAATTATTTCCATTTAAATTGGAATTGGCCAATCAACTGGAAAGTAAAAAGAAAAAAGGAATTTGAAGACTTATTTATGTAACATCTTTCCATCAACTTTCAAATTTATCACACTCTCGAGTTTACGATCTTCGAAAAACTCCCTCTTGAGTTTATAAATTACATTTTATTTTAACATAAAAGTAAGGAAAAAAAAACACACGAAGTAGAGGGAGAAAATTTCATTGAAGAAGTTGGCATTCAAGTTTCTTCAGTTTTATCCTCCGGCTCAAGCACCGGCGGAGTAATTCCCATCCCGTCGCAATATTCGTTAACGGCGCCGCTGAACTCCGGCGAGAACTCTCCGCCGGACGAAAAAATCACGCCGCTGCATTTGAGCGGCAGGCCATGTAATATCACTTTGCAGCAATCGAAACTCACCTCGATCTCACCGCTCTTCAACGACATGTCGATCTCATTCTGGCACCCTTCCACCGCGTTTATCGCGTCCCAACACGCCGCCGCCGACCAATCGTCCGAATCAATCGCCTCCGGCTCCGGAATCTTCCTGAGGGAGAAGGCCGATTGAATTGACGATGAAACCGCTAGGGCAAAGAGAAGGAAGCCGAAAAATCGAACCGATTTCGACATCCTTTGCTCGATCTCCTCTTCTCTTTCCCCTTCGCTGATTCTCAATTGCACTGGTACGTCTTCGATTCGCTATTTATATATAGATCTACAGAGAGTGACACCATTTTCTTGCCAGAAATCTGAATTTCATTTAAGGCTTCGGTTTCTTTTGTGCGTAATTTAATACAGCTTTTAGTTAATCGATTTAATTTTGCGTTCAATGAATTAGATTAGATGTTTTTGACGCTTGGGTTTCAGTTCCGTTTTGCCTGCATTTATTGTATTTGAGTTTCTTTAACGTTCTTACATTACTAATTCGATTGATTAACTTTATCGCTTCCATCATGTTCGCAATATGTAGAACTGATGAGAGATTTTTGTATGCCAAGAACAGAGCACTGATACTTTTGTAGTATTTCGAAAAAAAAAAATTGTAGTATTGTTTTATGTTTTTATAATCGGCTAGATTAGGAAAAATACGCCTGAACTTTGTTTGTTAAAAAATATTCACATCCTCTTTTAATTCCAATACTTCTAAAAAATAGCAACAAAATTTGGAACGTGACAACTTAGCTTAAGTTTTAAAAAGATAAAATGTGGTATCTCAAGGAAAAAAAAATGTGGAAAAAGTTATCCTTATTAAAAGAAGATTAGGACAAATTTAGGTATAATTGATTTTTGGGTGAAATACACTTTTTAGTCCTTGAACTTGAAAGAAGTCTAAGTTTCTCTTTGGACCTTATATTTCAATCCTCAAATGAAATAGTCTGGCCCTGGTTCCTCGCCTACTCCACATTCTTCCCTCCCATATTTTCGTAATTGTTCACCAAACTCAGGATCAGTTTAATCCCATGTTTTCTTGCTTTCGATATCATAAAATCCAACCCCTAAACAGAGCATTTGCAATTAAAAAAGAGAGAGAGAGAAAATCGAAGGAATGAACATCTGTTCAGTGTATTGGCCAGAGAGTACTGTAGATGTTATATCTGCCATCGCTGAAGGTCCAAGTTCTTCCGATGGCGATGCCATGATTTATGGCTTCTTGGGAGGCAGAGGAGACTTTGGTCCTCTGAGATGGGTTTGAAGATGAAATTTGAGATTGAAATTGAAGGTTGAAATTTTAATCCCATATTTCATTTCGGAGAAAGATGAGAGAAAAATGAAAAAAAAAAAGTCATATTATTTAAAGCCACATCAGCATATAACTCACCTTGCAACATCAACCTTCTGTTTGTTGGAGTTTATTATAAGGGACTTTTTAAAATTACTTTTTAAATGTTAGGAATCAAACTGTCATTTTTTTTAAACATGAAATGTCAATAATAATATTGAAAAGTTAAAAAGGATAGATGTATTTTTGAAATAGAGGAAAAAATTCATAATAAATATATATATTCAATTTAGCATTTTATAATTCAATGGAAGTTTTGGATCTTTAGAGCGAGATAATATGAACGACCAAAAGATTAGAAGAGGAAGAAGGAAGAAATTAAGGGGATAATGGAGCAAGGTTTTGGTTACATTATACGTGGAAAAATCAATCTTCATTCCATTACTTTTTATCGTAAATTTTTAGTTTCATCGAATTGCATCTTAACTTTTTGATGTAATTTTAACCTTGTCATAATTTCTTGCTTTGAGAATTATTAAGAAAAGCATACATATGAAGCATATACTTGGTATCAAATTGAGAAATTTAGAAAAAAAGAAAAGAAGAAGAAAAAAGACATTAAAGCTTTACTTTTTGAAAGTTTACAGTGAAAATTAATACAATATAACCACGTTGGTTTACATACTCGAAGCTGTATTGTTAATTTGTTAAAGTCAAAATAAAATAAGAACATTTTTTTTTTTAAGTTCGAAGACTAAAATATACCTATGAAAATTTAGGGTCAAAATAGTCATTTCAAATGTAATAAATATAAAAGTTCGAGATTTAAATTTATCGATAATTACGAAAGTTTAACCAAATAATTCCAAAATCCTCCCACAATGACTCACTCTTCTTTGTAGACAAACATCAAAAGAAACACGTCATATTTTATAAACAAAACCAACACAACAACTCGAAGACAAAATGTAGCTCATCATCCTTTTCTCTCAGTCTTTGACTGTTCGTCACCGCTGTTTGGTGTTTCCGTCTTGAATTTTTTGTGTTCCCTCTCGAATTCATAAAGGACGGGTTCCAAGGAGTTGTTCATTGAGAATTGGCAGAAACTTACCTTGACCTCAGAAGAAGATGGTTCTACTGCAATTCTAACGATCATGAGATTTGAGTCTAGTCTTGTGGGTAATACTCTTTTGAAACGTTTCACTTCCAGCGAGGTCTTTAGGAAGGTTCTGAAGCTTGCTTGGCATATGGAAGAAGCTTTTTCGATCGAGAGTTTGGAAAGAAATCTCTTCTTTTTAGTGTTCCCTCGAGTTGTGGATCAAACTGGCCATTGGATTTTTTTGATAAATCTCTAATTGTTCTGGAGAAACCAACCTCATCAACCAAGGTCTCAGACTTAGAGTTCAACAAAGTATATTTCTAGAATGAATACGCAAGTAAATTTTTTGGCAAAACATGCTATTTCTTCTTGTCTTTCGGTCCTTTGGGACATGTGTTTCTCATCATGGCTCTTAAGTGCTGTTAATAATGGATGTCATATCTCAAATGTAACCCTTTGTGGTATTTAATGAGGCTTTATTTTACCCCTAAAACAAAGCTTAACCAAATAAATAATCATGATACTTATGATTTCCTTAAATTATATAAAAAAAAATAATGTAATTGTGATAGGTTTAATATTTACGTATTTAGTTACTATTGAATAAGTGTCTTTTTCTTCTCTAGGTAGCTGCTAGCCAATATTCCAAACTTTTTCCATTGTCCTCCTTGTAAATATGACAATTACTTGTACATTTATAACATTAACATGGGATAGACACATGCAGTCAGTTTATATAAAAATAGAGTAAATCGACCAAATTTTATTTTTTCTATCTTTTTCTTCGAGATGAGCTTCACCTTTTTCCTATCAAAAAGTTCGATGAAGCATGCTTATAGCTGTTGATTCGTTGGTCAAAATCTCAAGTTGACGGTGTTATGTTCTTGACAAATAGGAGAGACGAATGGAGAGCAAAGAGAATTTTTGGTTTTAACATCAAATTTTTAGTAATAGTCAGTATAAAGATTCTTACTAACCGTTTAAGAGGTAACTATTATTTTGTTTTCACATGCCTACATTTAAGAGTAAATATCGTCATGGTCATGAGCTTTTAAATTTATTTCATTTTGAATCTTAAAACGTTTAAAACGTCCCTTTAATTTCAACTTTCAAGTTTGCTTTATTTTGATGATTGAACTTTCAAATTATTTATTTTAATTCTCTGGATTTTTAAAAATTAATTAGTTTGATATTTACCTTACATCTTGCTTGTAACTAGTTTACAATATGACTTTAAATATGTATACTAACGTATTTATAAAAAAAACACGCATTCAAACTATATAAGTTAAAGATAAGTATTTGATAGACGGATGTTAAGTGGTAAAACGATACAACAATAATTAAAATAGTTATTTTTTAAAAGTTTAAAAAGGAAAAAATCCCCACGACTCTTGGTGTACATGCCCAAGTATACTAATTTGTGGACCGTTGGATGATCCACACTGACACGTGGCAAAAGTAAAGCCCGATCAGAAAAATATCCCACGGTATCTGATTTAATTTCTAAAGAATCTTCGAAACCGTACACGACATGGTAGTCCTTATTCTAATAGAAAAGATCTTTCTCTTTGGCGCTATACTCGCTTAATGGCGCGTACATTTCACCGCCAAAACATACCGTTTTTTTTTTCATTTCTTAAAACAAAAAACGTACTAAAAAGTAAAAATAAGGTGCTATTCTAAAGTAAAAAAAATAAAAAAAAATTAAATAAGGTGCAAAAATATTTAGCTCATCTGCGGACCAATTCATATACCCATAGAGAGTTTAATACTTATAGAGGAAAGATGAAGCGATCGCGACCTCTGAGATGATAACATATGTAAGAAAAAATGTAGGAAATAAGACAACGTTAGTAAATTTAATTCACGATATATTTAGGGTGATTATGATGGTAGAACTATATTAATTTGCCGATCTGAGCATAGTTTAACTGATTAAACTATCTATCTTTGATTAAAAAGGCGAGTTCGAATTCTACAATAAAAGAAAAATATGACATGATTTATGTTTTAATACTTAATTATTTCAGTCAAATAGAGCATAGTTTAATGGTAATTGACATATATCTTCAATCAAGAGGTTGTAAGTTCGATCCCCCACCCGGTCACATGTTGTACTAAAAAAGAGGAAAATTTCTAATACTATGCCTCTTTCTATTTAGCATTTGATACATATATCATTTTATTTTATGAATCTCGCATCATTCTTAAATGAAGTTAACGTGCTAGTACTAAAAGTTGTACTTACTATTACAATACTAGATTTTTTTTTACACAAAAAGGCTAATTTATCTTTGATATTTTGAACTTAGCTTCACGATTAAAGCGTTTTTACTTGAAGAATATTTCTAGTACCACGAGAGTATGGATATTTCTTCTATTTACTGTTTACCACGTAAGCACCATATTTTAATAAAAAAGGAAAAATAATACCAAATGACATAAAATAAATATCTATTTATAAAAATATCATTACTTTTTGTTTTTTTAAATGTCACAGAAAGTAATTTTTAGTTGGTCTCGTGTAATTATATAAATTTATAATTTATGTCATTTTTGTAATATTTTAATTCTAATACCATATATAAAAATACATATTATTTTCTGTACTATTTTTTTTTTTAGTTCACCCATTAAAAATAACTGAGGGAATCTCCTACTCCACTTGTGATGTGATATTAAAAAAAATTGTGATATTTATTAAAAAATAAAGAAAATGGCGACTAAGGAGAGTGTGAAACACTTGGGAATTGAAGCGCGTGAGGGAGAGGAGTTATAAAATATGTGAAAGAGAAGTGAGGAGAGAGTCAGACCCCTAACCGTCCCTCAAAATCTGTGTGGCCCTTTCTTCCTCTGTCTCTGTCTAACGAGACTCCCTCTGCGCCGCCGCCACCGCCACCGCCACCGCCGCCGCCGCAGCCGCCTCTCCCTAAGCTTGCCGCCGCACCTCTCGCCGGCGGAGTTTGCAGTCATAACAGACAGGAGCTTCTTCCTTCTCTTTCAGGATTGTTCAACTTTTCTCCGCCGACCTCTCTGCCTCTCTCTCGCTGTCGCTCTGTTAAAGGTTTTCTTGAATGGCGACGTTTAATCTCTCTACTGGAGTGCCCATATTGAGATCAGATTCTGCCAGAGTCTCCGACCGCCTTGCCTCCTGTAGAACAGTTGCCGATGCTTTTGCTCTTGAACCGAAGAATGGAAGGATGTGTTTGCAATCGAAAATCTCTCCGATTAGATGCAGGAGCATTGCTGAGCAGCGGGAAGTTGAAACGTGTGATGGTTCTCTTGATACGGTGAGTTTGTTTACTTTCTTACCGTTTTGTTTGTTTTCCCGATACTTACACTTCGGTAGTTTGAGGCTCGTTCTTGGCTGATGTTGATGCTTCTCTGTTTGGTTACTGGAAATGTACTGGTTCCTCTCCATTACCTTGGTGAGGACTAAATATTTAAGCTCTACGGGGATTGAATTATGGATATTGTAAGATTGATGTCTCTTCCACAGTTCGAGTTCGTATAATTTTTGTAAGCTATATTTGGATTGCACAGGAGAAACATATGTATCTTAGATTCTGGTATTGAATGTTTTTTCCCCTAGTTGAACTAAAATGGAATGTTTTATTTTTTTCACTGTTATTTTTGTGAAGCATGACACCTCTAAGAGAGAGAGACTTCTGTTTGCTTCAGGATCAGGACGTTTCGAACTCTCCCATCAAGCTTCAGTCCAATGGATTTCCTCTTAGCAGGACGAAATTAACGACAAATTCTCGAAGGAAAACTAAGATAGTCTGCACCATTGGTCCTTCCACAAGTTCACGCGAAATGATATGGAAATTGGCAGAGACTGGGATGAACGTGGCACGTTTAAACATGTCCCATGGAGATCATTCTTCCCACCAGAAAACCATTGATTTGGTTAAGGAATATAACGCTCAATTTAAAGACAAAGTTATTGCCATTATGCTTGACACGAAGGTATGTTTTATGCCCTCTGTATGTTCATTGAATGCTAGACTATAACTAGTCCAGAGCAAAATTAGAACTTCTGATTCATCTTAAAGTTTTCACTATACGTTATCTGAACATGCAAGTTTGTAGTACCTATTATTCGAGATTCTGTACATCGGGATTTTGTTTTTTGAAGTTTAAAAGTCAAAATTTGATATATTTACGAATTTGATACTTTACGGAAGTTTTCATCATTTATATATGTATTTTTTTTGTGTTCTGGTACAAAAAATTAGTTGTATCTTCAGTTTATTTCTCGGTTGTATGCTTTAGGAATTCTGAATTAATGATATATGTTATTATCTTATTGATATTATAATTACCGCATTATATTTCTGTTTGTTTCACTCAGGGCCCTGAGGTTCGAAGTGGAGATGTACCTCAACCAATCTTGCTCAAAGAGGGGCAAGAATTTAACTTCACAATCAAAAGAGGAGTCAGCACAGAAGACACTGTTAGTGTTAACTATGATGACTTTGTGAATGATGTCGAAGTTGGAGATATCTTACTTGTCGATGGTGAGTATACTGCTTTAGTTTGTTCCACATTAGTGCTGAAAATTTATGATTCACCCTTTCTCGATAAGCGACTTGTTTTGTGTAATAGTCAGACAATGGGAGAAGAGAAAAAACTCTAGCTGGCTATAAAAATTGATAACTGATTATGCAGTCACTTCAAAGTATTATTCTCGTGGCATGCAGGTTGGTGAGGAGGCACTTCAAGATGACTTTTTATTTCAGTTAGAAATACAAGTTTTATGGTCTTGATCCGTGACTCTGATGGTTGGTGTGTCAAATATTTGTACTAATCTGATAACGAGGTGGCTTTGCAGATTGACTCTTAACTATTGGATTGATCAATAAAGGCTTACTTGATGATGATATTTTTTTTTCCATTACAACCAGACCATTAGCTGTTAACATTTTTGTAGTAGAGATCTGATCTTTTATTCATGTGGTTTTCTGCTTCAAATGCACAACACAACTTAGACCTATTCCTTAGACCAAAAGAATAAAATCTTCCTCTCTGAATAATTAATTTGCCCTTCAATTGCATTGAAAATTTTATATATGATTCCCCATGATTTATATTTACCTACTCACCTACTGATATGACTTGAACAGATCACAGCTTCGTTCAAACTTATATGCTTGACTAGTTGAAATATTAGTTATTTTTCTCTTTGGGCTGATGAGTTATAGATCTTATAGTTGCCTATTCTAGTGTCTCAAAGCAAAAATTTATTTTCCATATTCTAGGTGGAATGATGTCATTGGCTGTTAAGTCGAAGACAAAGGATTTGGTTAAATGTGTAGTCATTGATGGTGGCGAACTCAAATCGAGGCGTCATTTGAATGTCCGTGGAAAAAGTGCAACATTACCTTCTATAACAGGTAAGTTCGGTATTTAATATCAATGTTGCATTAATAATAATTTAGGTTAAATTACAATTCTAGTCTCTCTTTTAATGTTTGTCTTCCTTTATTTTCATTTTAGTCTATATACCTTATAAACATATCCGCTTAGTCCTAACGTTAATTATCTTGTTAACTAGTTATTACATAAATTGGCATGACACAATGTGGAAGTTGAAGTGATAACTGGATGTATTGTATGGTTGTACATACACAAAAAGTGGAGGTGGCAACATGTCAGGATGCACATGATGCTATGCCATATGTTTGTTACTATTTAAGTGGATAATTAACTTGAGGGACTAAGTTGATATGTGCATATAGAAGTACATGTGCTGAAATGAAACAAATTGAAGGAGGGAGACCAAAATGTTAAAAGTGGTGAAGTGTGCGGACTATAATAATAATATAACCTAGATATCTTCATCTATCTATACACACACACACACACATACCATCTATTGCCAGCTCTTAATCTATGAAATATTTCATGGTGCAGACAAGGACTGGGAAGATATAAAGTTTGGGGTGGATAATCAGGTTGATTTTTATGCTGTTTCTTTTGTAAAGGATGCTAGAGTGGTCCATGAGCTGAAGGACTATCTGAAAAGTACAATTTTAAAAATTTTAATCAATTGCCCATTATATTCCCAATTTAGCACATCTATGCTTCCTCTCATTCTCACGGCAAATATATATTATCTTTTTTTTTTGTAGGCTGTAATGCAGATATTTATGTGATTGTAAAAATTGAAAGTGCGGACTCAATACCGAATCTTCATTCAATACTTTCAGCGTCAGATGGGGTTAGCTTTCTAGTTCCTTGATTTAATACTTCTAACCGAATACACCAGTAACTTTACCATTAGAATGCAAATGACAATTGGTTTATCAGCAAGACTCAACATATTATTTATATGTCATGTAGTTTTAGAACCAAAATTGATTTTTATTTTTTAGGCTTAATTGTTGTCTTCCAGAGGATACTACAGATTGGCTCTATGAGTTGCTTTTAGGATGGTGGCTCCAAGGAAAAGATAGAATATTACTGTTCATTTATGCTAACATGTTCTTACTTCGTCTCATGTATTTGTGTCACATGTTACTGTTCAGGCTCATCAGTCTTCATTCCATTTTGAGTTGCAACTTAACTAGTTTACTTGACTTTTTAGGCAATGGTTGCTCGTGGAGACCTTGGGGCTGAACTTCCAATCGAGGAAGTCCCTTTATTGCAGGTAAAACTCTTCCATTATTAGTACTATCTCATTCATCATTCTTCCATTCTGCAGCATTAGTTCCAGATTAACTTCATTAATGACTTAAATGGTTAGTGTCTTCACCTGACCTAGGAGAAAGCAATTTTGGATTCAATGGCAAGAAAGATAATGCCGATTGGTTTTTTTTTTTTTGGCAAGCTTCCCGTGGATATCTTTTCTTTTCTTTTGTGCACTTTCCTTTCTTTCAATGAATATGTTTTCTTTCTTATTTAAAAAAAAAAAAACAAAGATAATAACAGACTGCATTTATGCATTTGTTTTCTATTTAGGGCGTACATCTTCCCCCTATTAGAATCAAGCATGGCAATGAGGGGCTAATGTAAAACTCCTGTAGTTAAAAAGGATATTCCAAGATGGAAACATTAAGCATGATTGTCATTGTCAGGAAGAAATTTGCTATTTTGGGGAGTTATATCTCTCTATTGCTCTCTTGATTAAAGATGAGTAACGGAATTTCATTCTAAAGGGGATTACAGAGAAGAGTAGATAAACCATCTACTAAAATGCTGAGGGAGTTGACAAAAGAAAGACTATGATTGGCCTTGATCATAAAGTAATGATTATTGTACAAAATTCTCATAAGAGTACACCAATTGAAAGCCAAAGCTAGCATCCAAACATCCTCAAGATCTCTTTCATCACACCTTCCAAGCCTGATTTCTCTCTACCCCAATCTCACAAAAAAATGCCCTTGACAGCTGGAACGGAGAGTTTAAGATTTTTCTTCGAAGACCTATGTCCACAAAGTCATTGGAGTAAGGGTCCACCACTTTTACGCCAAAACACTAATGCAAACTGAAGCAACCGAGCAGCTTGATTCAACAATTGCAGGCAAAAAGGTAGTGAAAAGAAAAGGTGAGCCTGGTCCTCCAAGGAGATTTTTGCACGTAATATACCAGTGGGGAAAAGTGATCCATTGGCTAATTCCTTTGAACTCAGTTAGTGGAATACTAAAACAAGCCAAAAATAAACCCAAAGGTGTTAAAAAATATTTTGAAAAGTGGAAAGTCTTGATAAATATAAAGAAGGGATACATCAATCTTTTTTTAGATGAAATCCAAGTTTCTTCATGTTTTTTTTTGGTATTCCTTTTTTATATTTATTGAAACTTTCCAAGGAGATAAATAGCAATGTGGTCGTGTCCTCTGCAGAGAATTGGAATCTATGATTCTATCGAATGCCTAAACTGTAAGGATTGGATAAGTCTTAGAAGTTTCTCATGGAAACAAAGATAACTGGAATCAAAATTTGGCCAGGAAGGAATATTTGTTTTAAGTACTAAGATTTTTTTTAACCAAGAATTCGCTGCTAGATTCCAAAGTTTAAGATTGTTGGTTTTCACAAGGGCTATACTTTTTCATTTTGAATGTTAATTCACAAAGATATGAATCCATCTACCTCCAAATTATGAAGTTTCCTTGGAAAGGAGTACAATCCAGAATTGAATAAATTGGTGTAGATGCGACATGATTCAAGAACATTAATATTCAAAGGAAATAAAAGCATTATAATCTTTTTTGGGCAAGAAACAAAATTTTCATCAATTACCAAAAATAAGAGCATTATAATCAAGAAATGTAAAATAATAGGATAAACATTCTATCATACTTCATCATATAACAGTGCTTCACATTGCTTTTCTGTCAGGAAGAAATTATTAAAAGGTGTCGTAGCATGCAGAAACCAGTTATTGTAGCAACGAACATGCTGGAAAGCATGATTGATCATCCCACACCAACCAGAGCCGAGGTATCTGATATTGCTATTGCAGTACGAGAAGGTGCTGATGCAGTCATGCTTTCAGGAGAAACTGCTCATGGAAAGTATGCATCTTGGTCCATTATCTGGGCATCTTATTGTGGCAGTCATTTATATATATATATATCTCGACTGGAAATGTTCACTCAAAAACTCATTTAGTCCCCTTTCAGACTTTTGGGTAGGAATGAGCCCCTTGAAGTATAAGAGCAATAAAGATGAATATGTTTTTGACGTTTTTTATTCTTTTCTGCTTTCCCATACTAAGAAAATTACCTCAGTTCCTTCTTGATTTCGTCATTTTTATATCAAATTGATTTTTTGATCCATAAGGGTAACATCATTAGGTATCCATTGAAGGCTGTGAAAGTGATGCATTCTGTGGCATTGAGGACTGAATCTAGTTTACCGATTGGTTCTACTGCTCCAAACCAATTGAGTGTCCACAAGGTTTGTGTTATTTACAGTGACGTGACGTTAACATTGTGTTTTCTAATTTAGTGTATCTTCAATGTTCCTTCAACGATGTTGTTGGGGCATGGGGTGAAGGCAATTGGTTTCTTTCTGATTGGGTTTAAAATCTTATAATAACACAGAATTTAAATTTAAAGCTAAAAAAGATTTATTTTATATATATAAAAAATCTGATGGGCATCGTATTCTTTGACAGAGCCAGATGGGAGAAATGTTTGCCTTTCACGCAACCACCATGGCCAATACACTTAATACTCCTATCATCGTCTTTACAAGAACGGGCTCCATGTCTATACTCTTAAGTCATTACAGGCCTTGCTCTACTATCTTTGCCTTCACTGACGAGTAAGTTCAGAAGCACTGTTAAATCTTTTGCAATTTCCTTGCATTTCATATATGATTTGCATATTTTCAGCACTCCAATTTATATAGCTCATACCATTGAGCCTTTTCATGTTAAGGGGTCTTTATATATAAGGTGTCGGGTATGAATACTTTGCAATGTAAATGTAGAGTATGCTATTTTTTTTATGCTTTTATGTCTAACTTCTAATAGTTGTGTAGCCGTGAATATTAGTTGGCGATGTAGTAGCTCTATGGAACCAGGTTGGAACCCCTAAAATATTTTCTATTTGTAGCTATAGATAGAGATAACAGTCTAACACAATGCAAGGTGCATGACTTACAGCATGGTCAAAATTATAAATGTTTCTGCTTTTGCTCGAAAAACACTATTTAATATGCCATTTATGTGAAGTCTCGGATCTTTCTTTCTTTGAATCGGGTGTAGTTCACACTAGTATTAGCATATATGTTTTTCACCGTCTTGGTTTTTCTTTTTGATGACTTGAAGAGTATATCTTATGAGTTATGACTGTAATCGAATCATTTCTTAATTAACTATTGTCTGATGCAGCGAAAGAATTAAACAGAGGCTGGTGCTTTTTCATGGGGTCATGCCCATCTACATGAAGTTTTCAAATGATGCAGAAGAGACGTTCTCCAGAGCACTCAACCAATTGCTGGTTAGTTTTTCTTTATTGTTTATTTCCTTGCGTTTTTTTAAAGATTCTCTAAGGATTTGTCAACGATTTTTGGGGGTTAAATGGTTTAAAATTTCCCTCGTTTGCAGGATAAGGGTCACGTGATAGAAGGAGACCACGTTACCCTTGTCCAAAGTGGAGCTCAACCAATCTGGCGGAAAGAATCTACTCACCATATTCAAGTACGTAGGATCCAAGGTTGATTTTGCTAGTAAAAGGAGGCTTTGTTGTTTTGTTCTTTCTCATTTTTGGACGTTATTCTGCATAAGATAAGTAATAGTTTTGTAATGTTATGACAAAATTGGCCTATTTATTAGACATTTCTTGATGATTCAGATTGGTAATATACATTTCTATAGCTTGAACCACTATCTGTTTATTTATGTATTAATCAAGTCAGACTGATCCCAAGGGTACTGAATTATAACTTTGAGGACATGCGACAAGATACGAAAAGTAGTCGTCAAATGATAAAAAAAAAGAGGCCGAAGCATAAGAAAAAACAAGGCAGAAGACAAATGAGGGTGCTTCATTTCCATCCGCAACTTGACAGAGAACAAAGGTGGCTCAGTGATTGGCCCAGCTTCCCCATATAGAAAAGGAAAAGTGAAAAGATGTGTCAAAGTCCTCTAATGAATAAAGCGAAGAAATTTACGAGGTGGGAACATGGAAGGCCTTGCACGAGAAATCTACGGGATCATAACATGTCACCCTTGCTCTTACAACAATATGGCTTGAAATTATTTGGTCAGATGTAATAGAAAGGGGAAAGAATTGGGTACACAGAGTTAAGCCAAAATTAGGTTTCTGACTCTTTAGGGCCCCATTCCTTTTATTCTTCTTATACAAGCTGATAGAATATGCATCAAACATGTCTTGGTTTTGTTTATATATTTCTTCAAATCAGACCTTGATGTCGTCCTGGTCTTCATTTTTTTCACACTTACCCTCCAGTTTGATACATTTGTACCATCTAGCACAGAGAATATACACTGCAAAGTCGATTGCTGTCAATCCAGCTAGGAGGAAGTAAAATCTGTCTAGATGGCCTCTGTTCAGGTTTCCTGGAATCCATCCTGGCATGTGATCCTCTGTTGATATCTTCATAACCATAGTGACCAGAAGGCTACTGACATAATTCCCCAAAGAGATTGATGTCATACAAAGTGCACTGCCAAAGCTTTTTAACCCGTCTGGGGTTTGTGCATTGAAGAACTCCAATTGGCCCACGTACATAAAGACCTCAGAAGCTCCTATAAATGCATACTGTGGAATTTGCCAAAAGATGCTCAAGGAGCTTGAGCCTTCACAGTGTGTGCAGTTGCCTTTGGCGTATTTTAGCCTATAACACTCAACAATCCCTGCTGAAACCATTGCCATCACTGCTATGATGAGACCAATTCCCATTCTCTGAAGTTCGGTAAGCCCTTTAGAATCTGATTTTCTAAGTTTTCCTACAAGTGGGTCTAGGACTCGCCGGTAAAGGAAGATGAAAACTGCCACGCTGAGAATGTCGAAGCTCGACATGCTTGCAGGTGGGATGTGGAAGCTTGAAACAGTAGTTTTCATTGCAGCGCCTTGCTCGACAAAGAGGGAAGCCATTTGAGTGAAGACTACGGAGTAGATTATGGTGCAGAGCCAAATAGGAAGTAATCTTAAAATGCACTTGACCTCTTCCACTTGTGTGATGGGACAGAGGCGCCACGGATTGTCAATGCCTTGTCCTTGGTTATCCAAATCTCTTGATGTTATATATGCTGCCCTGTCCAAAAACCTACAATATATAGAAGAGCAATCATGAGTTTATTATATGCAGACTACAATTGCAGCTGAACTAAGAGCTTGTGTGAGCTTGTTAGAAGTTACCGATGTAGGATTTCTCCAGAATTTTCTTTTACAATTCAGAAAAGGATTTCGAATGATTCGGAAAGTGGAAACAAGACATGATACTATTTCAAGCTCTACCAGAAAATCCGAAATGTGAAATACGAATCTGTTTGTCAGACTTTGTTCAAAGAAATGAAGCTGAAATGTAAATGTCCTTACTTGAATCCATGTGTGTGAAGTATCTTTCTACCACGATTCATGGAACTGTCCTTGCCATCAACAGTGTATAGTTCATCTTCACCAGGTGGCATCTTGACTGTTGATTTCTTAGCTGCAGCAACAATGACTTGGCAGAATCTGGAGAGAGGGTTACCACTTGGCTTGAAGTGCCTGTACCTTGGAGTTCCAGAAAGAAACAAAATCAGTGCTGCAAAAGCTGAGCCAGTGGACACCCAGAAGCCTAGAGCCCACAGTCCTCCATCTTCGAAGTACCCTAAAATGGTGTTTGAGAAGAGGGAACCCAAGTTGAGTGCCAAATAAAAGTAGCTAAAGAATGCCACTTTGGATTGCCCCTCTGTGGAGTCCTCTTCATCAAATTGGTCTGCTCCCAGTGTGGCAATGTTGGGTTGATATCCCCCGTTTCCCAGTGCAATAAGGTAAATGGAGAGGTAAAACAATGCATTCCCCAATCTTGAATGTGACTCGCATGGAGTGTCTTCATCCCCACAACCTTTTGGTTTTATCAGGAAGAGCTGCGATGTTAGGGACAGTGAAACCAGGCCCTGCAATAAAGAAATGTCAGGAAGCAGTTGGAGAAGAAAAGCCAGTAGTGCTGGAATCGTTAAGGTTTGGTACACTGTACTCACAATGACAAAGATGATCTGAAAAACCGCACAAGTTTTGTACCTTCCCCAGTATGAATCACTGAGGAAAGCCCCAACAAGAGAGAAGATGTACACCGTCCCGGTCCATTTGCTTACGCTGTTTGCTGCGTCGGCATTATTTTGTTGCAAAACCCTTGTCAGGAACAACACCAAGTTCACACCAACCCCGAAGAACGCAAGAGTTGCAAGACCTTGATTTACTGTTTTATTGGGGGAGAAGGAAGTCAGGGACTGGACAATAAATGTTAGGTTTGTTCTTCATTTGGTGGTGAATTCATGACAAATCTGTCCAATTAAGTGGGATTTCCTTAGTGGTTGCCTTTTCTCACCATATTGTTGTTTATTTCGAGTGTTGAAATTGCTTTGAGAAGTGCAAAAAGAAAGTAAGGCAGATCAGATTCCAATTCAGAACCACAATACTTGTAGTTATCTATGAGGACTAAGATCCAAATTGCTCAAGAGTGAGTTGTCATTATGTGAACTAACTTCAAAAAATCTCATATGGAGTTTCTCTCTCTACAAATCATTGAAAGTTATGCTCTGATGAGGGTATATAAGGAAGCTTGTTATCTTCTCTCTCTCCCTCTCTACTGTAAGACCCACAAAAATGGTAATTGTGTAAAGGATAAAAGCATTCCCATTATGAATTTCACTGTTAGAACATAGCTTTGGACCCTTGGTTGAAGGAAAAAGGTCTTTCCTTTTTGGTATTTTCCACTGAAAAGAGTCGTGTTTCCCTAATGTCCTTTTCCCACTATTAACCAACTTATAAGTTATGACACATTTTACTTCGATGATATTGGAGGAATGTAAAGCAACATGCTTTATAGTTCCTTTCCCTTTCAATATTTCTAGAAGGAATATTTCTGATGTCAGAATTTCATGTGAGCTTTTGAATTTCAAACAATTCAGTTATAGATCCCATTCTATCACTGCTCTTCAGTTTCATGCAATCCCTCTGTTTTGGTTTCTCATAGAAAAGGTTGTAGAGCTCTTTTTACTGATTATCTTCTTATTATGATGATAGTTTTAACAAGTGACTGAAAGGGGAAAACAGGAGAGAAATACAAAAAGTAAAATGCTGGAGGGTTCAGGGCCATGAACTGAGACTAATTTCTACCTGTAAGTAAATTCTTCTAGGGATTAGAGACAACGCGTGGAAAATCCACGTCATGCTATGCAAAAAAGAGTTGATTACGTGTCAGACACATCTCTTGTTGATGCATGCATTTCTCACCTTCTCTTTCTGTCTTGTCGTCCAGCTCTCAAAGAGTCAAATGAGGTAATAAAGCACAGTCCTTAAGAAATCTCTCTCTCATCATTTTTGGGTTGTTGCCTCTCTCTACAGTTAATGTTATTTTGGTCTCTCTCTCTCTCTCTCTGTGACGATTATTAATTCAGATTTTAGTATTGCCTGAAATTAGGTGGAGGAGAGAGCCGCATGCAAGGAGACTACAACACTTGGCTGGTTGTGTAGTGCCAAATGTTAAGCAATAAAGCCATTCCTATTTCTCTCCTCATGGTTCCATCCTTTTCTGCATTTAAGAAATCAGGTGAGAAGCTCTTTCACATCTCTAGTATGCACTTCCACTTATCTTTTTCCCAAATCCAAACAAAATTTTAACTGACACTTCTCTCTCACCCCCACTATTCTGAAACCATTCCCCCCATAACCTCCTTTTTCCTCTCTCTCTCTCTCACACACAAGGTTATTAAGAAAACAAGTTGAGAGAAAATCTAGGTAGAAAGTGTTCAATGTGGAAGATTTTACCAACAAAGGCTTCCACTTTGAGAAGAAATGACAAATAAGATCAGTAGATAGATGAAAGAAGTTAAACTTGAAATTGTGGAACAGAGAGAGAGAAATTTTGGGGGGCTTACAGAGTATGATGGTTCCAGCAAACCATCCTCCAGATTTTGATCTGATTGCAGGGTGGCCATGCCAATCAACAGTCCCATCAAGAGTGCAAACTTCTCTCTCTCCTTTCCTCTCACCACCCTGCAAATTCTGTACCCAAAAAAACACAAATTACACTCCAAAATGTGCTTCTTCTTATTCATTTTCAAAAGACAGAGAGAGAGACACACAAAAGATTTCATTTGATAACAGACCTCATTGCAAATCTCCAAGCAAGCCGCCATTGATGAATGGATTATGTTAGAAATATGAAGTAGAGCAGAGCAGAACAGAACAGAGCAGGGGAAGTTGGTGAGTATTAATGCTCTGATGATAGTTGAGTTGCAGAAGTGAGAGGACACAAGCATGGGACTTGAAACAAGATGGGAAGTGTGTATAAATAGAGAAGCCAAGGTTGGGTTCAACGGTAGAGATTTAGAGAGAGAAATGTGGGGTCACCCAAATGTCCAAAATCATATAATTTCTTTTTATTTTCTTCTTTTTACAATATGGATCACACTCTTGGGATGTAGATGTTACTTTAATCTATTATTCTATTTCTTTTGGCTTCCTAAGAATTTCAGAAAAAAAGAGGGGGGTTGGGTTGTGTTCTTATTTGTTAGGATAAAACTTTGGCTCCTTGATGTTTCTAGATGTTATATTCTGATAATTTGTAGTAAATGAATATAAGTGGTTCTTATTTTATCTTTAAACATTTTTATATTAGATTGAAAGAGATATGACATAGATTCTTTTGATTAGTCTTGTTTTAATTAATGAGGCTGTTGTAATATCCACTTTGCCTCACTTAGTGCTCATATATTTTTGACATGGACACCATAGAAATGAAGTAAATTCTGAAATTGGCTGCCACATGGCACATGATCATTACATATATAGTTACAAGTTTTCTTTAATGTTTTAATGTTTTAACTTCTTTGTTTTTTTATGCTCTAATGGTAAGTGACAATTATATTGTATTCGATACTCTATCGGATTTGAGTTGAGCTCAAAATCTCTTATCTTAGGATAGATAATGAGAGGTCTACAACTGATAGGAGAGAATACAAAATAGTCCTCCAACACATTACCCATGATCTCATGATCAAACTCTGAGATTCGCTCTCTCAAAACTTAGCCCATTTGGATTTATCTCTTCAAAAGATATCCTTTATGAATAGACAGCCGAGAATGCAACATCAAAAGGATAGACGACGATGAAGGATTAGAAAGAAGGAGTAGAAAGGAGGAGTTAGTTTGTCTTTTTTTAGTTGAATAGGGTCAGAATCGAATGATTAGGATCTCGACAATGAGACAAAGCTAAAAAGGGAAAGATTGGATGCACTAAAAAAAACAAGATGAAGAGAATATGAAGTTTTGATACATTACCTAGGATCAAAACTCGAGATTGCTCCCTCAAAACTTAGTTTGGACCTATCTTTTCTAACGACATTCTTTACCCACACGATCGGACGGCCCAACACACAAGAAGAAGATAATATAAAACCGTAATATTCTCATAAACATTTTACTCTTCATATCTTGCTACTTCAAGATCATTGGCACTTCCTTTAAAAGTGTTTAGAATATATATGCAGCTTGCCTCAATATTCTCTCTCTACACATAAAGAAAAAAGAGAATGTGAAGCACATTAGTAGTTATTCAATAAAAGTTTGCATTACTACGACATAAATATCCAAGCTTAGAAATCACATAACTACTCAAATCTTATACATTTTTATGAAAATATTCTCTTAGGAGACTTAATTGAAAGAGAATTGGTGATTCTATTAACAAATATTTCGAATAATAATCGATTTGATTATCAAATATTGCTGTATTATTATACAGGATATGATTCTATTATACTGTGCATCCATCCATTTCACACATGAATTAGGTTATAATCGATGCTTTTTAATCCTTTTTTTAAAAAATAATTTTTCCAAATAAATGATGAGAACCTTCTACAAAAGAATTAAAGTTTATCAACCGTGTTTATGTATATATATTTTTTGTACATCGTTAACAACAGGGATATATATTTATATTAAATGTTCGTTTGGATTTGTATACTTAATTTTGTTCTCAACTAATGGAAGTTATGTGCCAATTGAGAAGTTGCTTTTGCGTTAATCCCATGTTTTGGCAATAATTTATGCAAAGTTTTGTCCAAAAAAGAAAAAAACCCTTCAAGTTTTAATTTATTTGTTTTGGCCTGTAACGTCAAAACCTTTGAATCTCTGGTGTCGAATGCAATTGAAACATGTTTTCTATCATATACAACCAGGCTGGATCAATGTTGAATAAATACTCGAAACTCTTTTCCATGGTACCACCACCAGTCGACCTAACCTTATTTAGCAATTCGAAAATGAAAAGAAATATTTGCGTCCCTCAAAATTTTTCCTCCAGTTCTGTGAACACATATTTGATAGAGCCTAGAGATTCTCCCCATCTAGTATTTATGTTAATTACCACACCAACCATACAAGATTTATAATTTGACACTTATGGAAAATGGTGGAATATTGAAAAATCGATTACATAATGAAAATGATATGTTCCTATTGCTTATGAAGTTGTTAGGTAAATCAATTGTTTCCTAACATTTTTAGGCAAGATGGAGAAACAGATTATGGTATTAAGTGTTGGGCAAGTGAGAAAGTTGAAAAGGCAAACATATACAAATCAGAAATAAATTGAAAGAGCCAAATGGCATTATACAAGAAATAACTATAATGAACTTAATTAATTATATATATATATATATTATACGTACGGTCTAAGTTAGGATCTTATCTCCCAAAATTTAGGGTTAAATTTATTTCCTTCCAAATTAATAATGTGTTAGTGTTAGGCTGTCTTTCAAAGAAAAGCATATGTTTCCAAAGCTATAATCTTATTCTTTTTCAAGCTAACTAACTATTATATGGTTTCTTCCAAATAAATTTATATTTAATAACATTACTTAAATTGAATAACGGATGGTAGCATGACAATTGAAATATTATTCAATCAAATCTCTCTTTTCCTGCGTGACATATTTTAAAAATTGCAACTCTCTCGAGAAAATTGATAGATCTCAATCTAACGCGTAGGAAAAAAAAAAAAACTCTTTCTATCAATATTTATGATGATTTCTACCAACAATCACAAAGTTTATGTTTACGATGATAATTAATGATGTGCATAAAAATATATTTTCCAAAACTAGTAAATATGTGCATTTTTATTGGCTAGCTAGCTATGTAGAAAGACTCAAACTTTAAAACAAAAGAAAAAGTTCGATTGCCAAAGCGAGCATAGCTTGACATATACTATCAACCATGAGGTTGTGAGTTTGATCCCTCACCCTCATATGTTATACTTAAAAAAAAATTCGATTTTCATTTCGAAATCACGGTTTGCGAATCGAGACTTTAATGTATTTAATAATATTAACTTTTACAAGTCACTCAATCACTATACAGATTTGAAAATAGTTTCTCTAAGCAGACCAACAATGGTTTTAATTCCTTTTCTCCCTCTTTTCCCTTTCATTTTAATAAAACAAGAGTGAGATCCAGCAGGCCACAATAAAACTCACAATCAAACCTAAAAGTTGAAAAAGAAGAAAGGAAGCATTGAAACATTTATACATAAAGAAGACCATATAATTAGGCCAACCCTAACACATTATAGTGGCAATGTGTGTCATAAAAAGAATCTAAAACTGTCCATAAAAGGGTTGGTTTATTGCATAATTGGAAGCCTATATATGTTTCAAATGGTGTTTTTGTGGGTTGAAAGAATCTCGAGAAATCTACTCAATATATAGAGGTGAGTATATTTAATACTCAAAATCAACTCGAGATTTAATAAGTAGCTATCATTATGTATTCCCAACCTGAGTAAAGATAACAAGTTATGACATCTATCTCCGATGGAAAGATCGCGAGTTTGAATATGCCCCTATATATTGTACTTAAAAAAATACTATCATTATATAGAGAAGGTGTGCCATTGTATGAATTTAAATATATGATAATTAATTTTATTTCCATACCAGGCTAGCTATACTAAAGTTAGAGTTAGAGTGCCAAAGCGAACATAGCCTAGCGATAATTGACGTATATCTCCAATTAAGAGGTTGTGAGTTGGATCTCCCACCCTACATGTCGTCCTTCGTTTAAGGATAATTAATTATGAGTCTACTTGGCTAAACATTTTGTATTTTTCTAAAAAGCAAACTTTAAAAAGAAGGAAAAACTAAAGACAAAAACTATTATGTGCACACCTGTTTGACAAACAACAATTAATTATTTTGTTAAATGCCCAAACACATTAGAGATATTCAAAATGTTGTGTTAAAGCATCAAACTTGAAAACAGGTCTTAATCCATTTCCTTTTACACATAAAGATAACAAAAGAAAAGAAAAACCCTTTATTTATATATATATATATATATATTATATAAATATAAATGTAAGGGAATACAACTGTTAAGCATGATATCAACAAGGAACTAAAAAGTGTGAAAAGGCAAATATCATATGTTTATAAATGTTAACGTTTTATATAAACTCTCCCATCTGAATGGCCTTTCATGCCTTGTTTTAGACATACAAGCCATTCATTTAGGTCAAGACAACCAACTTCATCTTAATTTGGAGATATATTATATTGAAAATGCTTTATTAGCCATCTTAAAAAATATTTTTATGTAATAAATTGGTGAAACGAAAAATACTTTATACCTAAAATGTTCCTGTTCTTGATAACTTTTCCTTTTACATGGATGTGCATGCGAAATTGAGTTGTGCTGCTCAAGTCAGTTAAGATATATATTCTCGATAAAAAAATAAGAAGTTCGAATTCTCGTCCTATAGGTTTGTTCCTAACTTCAAGTATATACATACATATATTTTTTTTTTCATTAATATCAATCTCCTTTCCTAACTACATTTTATTATTTGGTATTTTTCTAATACATACACTTGATATACTTTTAACTAATTTTTACACACTTTCTGTCATTCATTGAATTTGTAACTTTAATTGTTTTCATTTTAATATTTTATCAATTCTAGAAATATCTTTTTCGTATACATTAATTATTAAATGACACTCTTTAACCAAATTAAAAGCACTTTTCAAATACTATAAGTGATAACCAAGCAACAAATTAAGTGTTTTATTATTAAAATATTTTATAATAAAACAATGTTTGATAAACCACTCAAAAGCACTTGGAAACTTTGCAAAAAAAAAAAAAAAGCACTTGGAGACGCATGTTTGTCTAGAATGCTTTAGAAATAATGTTCTTAAACAAAACAAACTTTCTTTATAAAATATATATTTCTTTTAGACAAGAAAAGCACTTATATAAATATTTAGGTAAAATTAAATACATACAAATACAAATGTTGTCAAAAAGCAATTTGTTCATCTCATTATATTCTGTGTCAAAATATACTCCATGCATATTTTGTATTTTGGTTGGTTAACTTTGGGATTTCGAATCCAAATCTTTCCAAGCATGAAACACAATGGCTTATTAAGTACACAACAAATTAAGTTGGATTAATACAAATCCATTTTTCAGAACTCTAAAAAAAAAAAAAGAAATAATAATAATAAAGGATCCCAGATTGAAAGGATC